CAAGGGAAACATTTCTGTCTCAAACGTCCACCTTCTTCTGTCCACAAATGTGACAGTTACCGGCTGACTGCCATCTTAATGTTTGCAAAGGTTGTTAACATTTACTGTAAGGGGCTAACTGTGGAAAAATGAAATGGGAAAGAAACATCACAACTTTTTGTTTTACCTTTTAACGTTTTGAGGACAACACTCTTGGACTTAGCAGGGTCCCCAGTATTCAGTTTGGCTCGATAGATGGCCCCACAACTCCCATTGTGGATCTTCTCCAGATCTTCAGAGATTTGTTCCCGGGGCACCTGCAGCTTAGCCAAGTCAGGTGTGGTGGCTCGCAGAAAGCTTTCCACCGATGTCTCCTTCAGTGGCACACACACGTTTTCTCCATGTCCTGCTCCTTCCCCACTGAGGGCCCTCGATGGAGGCGTGGGGGCTGTGCCTGAAGCAAAGAGATGATGTGAACCAGCTTTCCCCTAACCTGGAGACTCGAGAAAAGAGTCTGAAACAACCTGCCAAAGGAGTTTCTGTAGCAGTTTTCTCCCTGACCAAAGTAGGAATGTGTTTAAATGCTTCTCTAAGGAATGATATCAACACCTAGACTGTAGAACCTTTAAAATAATCCCCATTACTTCTAGGAAAACTCAAGGCGGACCCTAGGAGGTAGTCACGACATTACTTTTCTGTCTTCCCCAGAATGACAATTCAATATTCCCTCATGAGTGTAGTACAGAGACTATTAAGGAAGTTCTCAAATAGGGGCACACAAACCACAGATACCTAAAGGTGGTGGTAACTGCCAGTATGGACTATCACTTCAGTGAGTCAGTAGCTTTCAACACTGAAGGAAAGTTATAAATAACTATTCAACTTTTTAAAATAAGTATTTAATTTTATTTATCATTATTACTTTTCAATTTGACCAAAGAGAAAATAAGAGAGGGAAAGTTAGAAAGCAAGTTGCCAGGTTCAGGACTCGAACCATGGTTGGCCATGTGAGAGTCCAGTGCCTTAACTACTATGTCACCAGCCGGCCCTAACTATTCAACTTTAAGCTAGAGTTATTCTTCATTTTTCAAGGTGTCCCAAAAGTCAAATTACTACATATTCCTTGAGTTTTGGTCAAAAAGTCTTCTGGTACTTTCTTCCTTAACCAATAAGAACTTTCCTTTAGTTGAAAAAGAATGTTCATTTTTCTTATTAAATTTCTATTCATTATTAAATAATTCATTTATTTAACAAATATCACCTACTACCTTCCAGGTACTATTCTAGATGTTACGAACAGGCAAAGTCCAGATTCACCTGACAATTATCTTCTAGTGGTGGGGGGAGGAAGCAATGAGTGCTATTGAGGAAAATAGCAAATGGAGAATAAGGATCCACAATACTATTTTATATGTGAAGGCTAAGAAAAGCCTTTCTTACAAAATGACATTTGAGAATGACTTGGAAGCAGAAAGCAGACCATCTGATGTAAGGAAGAAAGTCATAGGCAAAGGAGACCAGGAAGACAGATGGACTGAGGGAGGAGCACACAGGGTCTATCTGAGGAAGAGCAAGGACGTCCATGCAGCTGGAGCTGAGAGTGGTCATTGGGAAGTTATATGAGGTAAGACCAGAGGGGCCCAGACGTGTCAGACCATTGGACAAATTTTGTCTCTTTTTATTCTAGAGAGCGAAATAGGAAACTATTGGGAGGTGTCAAGCAGAGAACTGATATGTCTTACTATGCTTTTGTAAAAGCATTCTGATTTCTCTGGGGATAATAAACCATAAAAGGGTAGAGGCAAAAGCAGACAGACTTAGGAGTGCATTTCACTAATTCATGAGGGGTGAGAGTGGCTTGGGTCTATCTTTACAGTTAATAGGACTTGCTTATGGATTGGATATGGACAGTGAGAGAAAGAGGGAAGTCAAAGATACCTTCAGGGTTTTAGACTGAAAGGACAGATGTCTGGACTTGCCAATTACTAATATAGGGAAAGCTACAGGGTGGGGAGAGAGGAGAGACACTTGTGAGAATTCTGGGACCTTTGGATGTATTGTGTATGAGATTTATATTACATCTAAATTGCAAAGCAAGTGGTTTAATATAAGAATCTAAAATTCAGAGATCACATCAGAATAGAAAAACTATTTGAATCCATAAGACTGAAAAGTGTATCATTTAAGAAGTGACTTTAGGGAACCAGCAGTTGGTGTAATGGCTATGTCGCTGGACTCCCACATAGTCGACCGCGGTTCGCGTCCCGGACCCAGTGGCTTAAAACTCATGCCGGGCACGTGTGCGTGCGTGCCCAAGATCCCGAGAGGAGAATGGAGGAGAAGGGATTGCGGCGTGACCTTCCCCCCTGGGGGGTGATTTCTCGCTTTCTGTCTCTATGTCTCTCCCTGTCTGTCTGGTGAGTGCACGTACCCTATAGCGAAAAACCTCTCCAGAAAAAAGAAAAACAAACAAAAAAAAGAAGTGACTTTAGACTTTTTTTTTTTTTTGGTATTTCAAGAATGAGGAAGTGAAAAGTTGTTTCAAATACATTTGACAGGTCAAGGAAGATAAAGACTAAGAATTTGTAACTGGACTTATAATCACCTTGGAAAGGGTTGTTTTGGTGGTGTAATAGGAATATAAGCCTTATTTTAGTAGGTTTGAAGGAGAATATCATGAGTAGAAGTAGGAAGAGTAAGTTTAGGCAACTTTGAAAAGTTTTAAAAGTGAAGCATTTTTTATAAGAATTTGCATAGAATTTAGATAGATACTAAGGACTGACTTCTATAAAGTGTTGTATCACTGTTGATTTTTTTTTTGTTTTACTCTTAGTTTTAGGTGAGAGCTGACTCTCTTTCATTCTATGCTCCAGTGGTACTTCAGAACAATTCACCATCATCTCTTATCTAATGCTTCAAAGTCTAATAAGAAGGACATCCCTTTTCATCATATAATCTGGAGACAAAGAATAGGGATGCATTGCATTATAGGGCAGAATGTCATCCTTGGAGGGTCTCACTGTAGCCCTGGGTTTTACCACTAATTCATTTTTTTGGTCCTTAGACACTCATGTTGTCAAAATTTTGATAGTTCAATAGGACAAGAAGGACAGAAACAGGTCACATGAGGTGGCTCTTATGCACTGTTGTTTCAGTCAACAAGCATGTGTTGAGTTCCAACTTATGACTCTAGAACAGCCATCTCTCCCTCTCAACTCCGCAGGACAGAACCCATGAGTCTCTCACTACAGGTACCTAGACTCCTAGACTTGGGCCTATTGACACCTGGACTATAGTTTTTCTAATCTCTATCTTCCGTGAACCCCTGCTCAGCCTCAAAGTTTGATCTTTACCTCGGACTGCAGGACGCCGGTCTTGACCTCTTTGTCCTCTGATGAAAAGCCACAAGATGACCCCAAGAAGGATGAGGAAGATGCCAACCAGGAGAGTTGGGACAATGATCACTTCATACTGCTGCTCCCGTACAACTGGGTAGGCAAACAAGCAGGAAGAGAAGAGGATTTAGAAGAAGCCTGACCTGATGTCTACACAGTTTCCTCTACCCTCCCATCCTCAGCTCACCAGACGTGAAAAGATCATCTCTTCCATCTTCTCCTGTGCTTACATTCAATGGACCCACTCTTGAGAGCGTTCCCTAATCAGAAATCTCACTGCCCCAGCTTTTTAGCCCAGCAAGAGTGCCCTGTGCCTCTTCTGTCATTTTTCCTACTGAAAAGACACAGCACTTGGCTCTCTGATGGTTATCAACCCTCCATCTCTTCACAGACAATGGCCTCACATTTTCATTCTTTTATTACAACTATCTTTGTTTCAAGTAGAGATCAAGTCATCCTCCATCTAGATCTATCTAGACTTCTGTCTCCATGATCCGAAAATCAGAGGATAGACATGTCTGGTATCTGTACTTACCACACAACTTGTCACTGAGACTGCATTCCAGTAGCATCCGTGTCATGCCCCTCTCATCTCCCATTGCCACAGAGTGGTCGGCTTCTCTGCTGACCCACAGGAAATGCACGAAGCACAGAGGTGAGTAATTCCCAAGGGCTGAGTGACTCTGGAAAAAATCAAATAGAACACATACAGAATTTTAAAAAACCTCTGTAGGTCAGTCACGAGTTATTCAGGGCACAATACTCTCTCTCAGTCATCCTTTTATCTCTATTAATCTGCCTGATAGTCGGGCTGGAAAACCCTTTCATGTCCTCCTGGCATTCTCCCCTTCTCTGTTATATCTCAGGCACAGCCCTCAGTCTTGTCCTTTCCTCTCATTGTTACTGAAATTATTTTAAAGATTCCCCACCCACCAAAGACTTCACTGTGGGCTCAAGTACAGATTCACAGCACCTGTCTAAAGACAATTGTGACCATGAGTTATGTGGGTGTGGGTTATGTGGGCAAGATCTATCTCCCCTACAGTATTTGAGCATGTCTGCTTTTATTTAGCTATGTATCACTTATTTTTTAAACAAAGCATTTAATTTCATTTTTGTATAAAGTTAATTCAGACAATGAATCAATGACTATCGGGAAGATGTCAAGAGAGATGAGTCATGCATTTGCCTTCTTTCTCTGAAACATCTGCACCTTCACAACTGATGAACAGAGAGCTTTTATCCATAAAACCCACTGAATCAGCTCTCGAAGCTTCAAGGAGCTTCCTCTGTTCTTATCAGATATAGACACTTATTATTTTTTCTAGACACTGATTCTTACCAAAATTAAAGGCAATGTCAGTACCAAGACACATTCTCTTTCTCTCACTCTTTCAAATAAAAAAAGAACATGTTTATATGGTTCAAAAATAAAAAAGGTTAAATGGGATGGCATAAAAATCTTTCTTCCACTCTATCCCTTTTCCATTTATCCAGTTCCCAATTCTCCTATGACTGGACTAAAATCATTAGTGTCTTGTTTATCTAGCAAAAGAGTATTTGCATCACTTTTAAGTCTATATATTCAGCATATATTTCAAATGATACCTCCTAAAGTCTGCTCCTTCCTTTCTGACTCGTGGCTTCCATCTTTCTTTCTTTCTTTTTCTTTTTTTTTTTTTTTACTTCTTTGGAGAGGTTTTTGCTATAGGGCACGTGTGCTCGCCTGAAAGAGAGAGACAAAGAGACAGAAAGTGATAAATCACCCCAGGGAGGATGGCCACACCGCAATACCTTCTCTTCCATTCTCCTCTCGGGATCTTGGGCACGCAAGCACACGCACCCGGTGTGAGTTCAAGCCACCGGGTCCAGGACTCGAACCACATTCAACTACATGGGAGTCTAGTGACATAGTCATTACACTAACTGCTGGTCCCCTCTCCAGTCTTTCATATATCTACAAGCTTTATTTTTTTTTCCCTTGTTTCACAAGTTTCTCCCCTGCTTCTATTATGATAAAGCCACTTTCTTTATAAAGTACAGTGACTTGATGAAAAGATAAAACAGAAACAGAAAATAAAAAACCAGAAGTGTTGCCTAGCTGATATGGCACTATGTTATACATGCGTTACGTTAGCTGTCTTCTGTTATGACATTACATGTTGTGTCTTGTTATCGAGACTAATAACCACAATGTGACTTACGGAGGCAGTACTCTCTGTGTCTGAAAGATGTATGTAAAGAAGTTTCCCAGCCATTGCCTCGTCCCTTTTTCACTCTTCTTAAAGCTCTGCGAGCTTATACGTGCAATGATAGTTAAACAGTTTCTTCACCACTCAGTAGAGAAATAGGTGTGTGCGTGGTTGACAGAAACCCAGGTAAACAGAGGAGTAGCCAGAGGAGAAAAATTGCAGAGAGAAGAAAATTCTTCTTCAAGGGTTTGTGCACACAGCAAAGGATCTATAAAGTCAATGAGCAGTTAGACAGCAAAATCCATTTCATCTAGTTTATAAGTTCAAAAGACAAGGAGGAAAGTATTCAAGAGTTTCCACAGTTCACAAGGCCTCTTAGAAGGTATTAGCAATGGCACAAGAAATAGATCCCAGAGAGGGTGGAGCAACGAAGGTTATAAAAATAAAACATTAGCTCAGCTAGGCGTATTCAGAGTCCATTTGAAAATTTGTCACTGCTGTTCTCATTCTTATTTTTCTTTTCTTCTTGCTTCCTTTTCAGTACATTATTATCAGCTGTAATTATTTTCATTCAGGGAGCAGCCAGTTTAACGAGTTTGGCTCTCTGGGTAGTAGCTCTGTGAGCACAATCTCTCTTACGTAGCACAAGTGGAAAAGAAGGGGCAGTTAGCAGCCAGTTCTGACTTGTGAGCTCTGCCCAGAAACCAAACTACACACCCAGTAACACATACCGAAGGAAAGAATTTAAAGCCCTGTGTGCACACGTGCCCCATACACGGCTGCTCGTGGTGGGCCACACTCAACTGTGGGTACATGTCCAAACACACTAAGCCAGTATCTCAAACCCATGCTGCACCACCAAGATCTCAAACCCATGCTTATACCTTTGCACCACTGTGGAGAGCAGAAAAAATAAACATGAGACCAATTCTGGTCACAACTTCACCATCAGAGAAGCTGTGCCCACCCAATCCTCGCTTTTCTATACTCGTGAGTCTTTGTGTGTTTATTATTGCATCTATTTTTGATCCACAGCCTTTCCCACTCAAAAAAAAATGTGTTAAAGGGGCCAGCAATTAGTGTAATGGCTATGTCGCTAACTCCCAGTTCGCTTCCTGGTCCCGGTGGCTTAAAACTCATGCCAGGCACGTGTGTATGCCCAAGATCCTGAAAGGAGAATGGACAAGGGTTTGCGGCGTAGCCATCCCCCCTAGGGGGTGATTTCTCGCTTTCTGTCTCTCTCTCTCTCTCTGTCTGTCTGGCAAGCACATGTGCCCTATAGCAAAAACCTCTCCAAAAAGGAAAGAAAGAAAGGAAAGAAAGAAAGAAAGAAGAAAGAAAGAGAGAAAGAAAGAGAGAAAGAAAGAGAGAAAGAAAGAAAAGAGAGAAAGAAAGAAAGAAAGAAAGAGAGAGAGAGAAAGAAAGAAAGAAAGAAAGAGAAAGAAAGAAAAATGTGTTAAAAACGTGTCCATCCAAGCTGGTCTCAGCACACCACCAAGATTTCACACTTAATACAGAGCACCTTTGGATACAACATGAATTGTGGTTGCGTTTCCTGAGCCAGCTTGTCCCCATCACTTTTATTTATGCAGATAGTGTGAAGAGACTAGGCTTGTTAACACTCGCAGCACAGTAAAACTGAGTGCTTACAGCAAGGAGATAAATATACAGGGCAATAAGGCCCACTCAGTAAATCGCTTTCCACGTCTTTGTACAATAAACTCTTTCCAGTGATGACAGTTTGACTACAGGCATAAGAAATGTGTCCAACGAGTCCAGGACGTTTAAGGTACATCAGAAGATGCTCATTTTCACTTGTAGCAACAACATTCCTCCCTACCTCACTCCCGCCTCCTGCAATCAATACCTGATTGTCACATGACTTCGCCTGCCCCTCTGTGTTCAAGCTGAAAAAAGTGCCTTGAGAAGACAAAAAAATGCCTTGATGCCAAAAGCCCCGAAAATGACTCCTCGTGGATTAGGTTCTAGCCCATCCTACTGTTAGGAAAATGCTCCGAGGACAAACCGGACTGCTTTCCCTGTGCTAAGACACTTTCTAGGGGGCCTGGTGGAGTTAAATCCACAAACACTAATCTTGCTAGAGCAGACCGCCTTGAACCAGTGATACAGGACGCCCCCTGCCTCCTTCCCTGATGTAGCGTTTTATGATATTCCGTAAAGCTTTCTTATCTCTGTTTAAGTAAAACACAGGCATTACTTGGCTGGCTCGAGGTTTTTTTGGAAGCAAAGACCTGTTTTTAACCTTTAAATTTCTAAACGCACTTATAACCTGCAAGCCCCCTGCTTCCAGATATCCCACCTTCTTGGGCCAAGCCAATGCAAGGACTCCTTATGCTTATTTATAACTGTGTCACCTGCTCTCAGAATAAATAAAAAGGACTAATTCTCTGAACACCCCAGAAAATGTTTTTGTGCTTTTCTGGGCTTGGTCACTCAATTTCATATTTGGAATACATTGTTTCAATTATTTTTACAGACCCTTGGTTATTTCTGTCAGCAGCTCCTGGCCAGCATTTCTGTACAATAAGACCAATATTCAGATTCAGTCCTCTTTCATTACATCTAGGCAGTTTTTATACTGCATTAAATTATATGTA